GTCCCTCCGTTGTTCTCTCCTCTCCCCCCCCCCCATCCCCAATCACTATTTCCGTCTCACTCTTTCGCCATCATTTCTTTTTCCCGCTCTCCCATCATATTCCTTCATCCTTCGTCGCCTTCCCCGCGACCCCTCGTTCTTCCCGAGCCTTGCCCTCCCCCTTTTTCTCACTCTCTCTCTCTCATCCCCCTGTCCGCCAATCCATCTCCTCCTTCCCTCAACGTTTCCGTCCACACCCGCATCCCAGGCTCGCGGACGATCCCCCGTCTTCGCTTCTCTCCAAACCCGTGAGCAGCTTATTCCAGAACTGGGCCAAGCCGCCGCTGCCGCCACTGCCCTCAGGGTCTGGGGTGACCCCAGCATCTGGGGGAACCGGCGCTGGGTCGCCCTCGCCGTCCTCATCTTCAACCACCCGCCACCTCCAGGGCGTGGATTTTGAAATGCGCCCCCCTCTACTCCGACGTGCCCCCAGTCCCTCCTTACTGCCCCCCTCGGACCACAAAGTCAGCCCCGCTCCCCGGCCCTCTTCTTTGCCCATCCTGCCCTCTGGGCCCCTGTATCCCGGCCTCTTCGACCTCCGGGGCTCACCCACTGGAGGGCCTGGGGGCGCCTCGGACCCCTTCGCTCCCGTTTTCGTGCCCCCCCACGCGGGGATGGCGGGAAGCCTGGGTGGGGCGTTGGCTGGGGCCTCACGCTCGCTGTCGCCCACACGCCTGCTCTCCTTGCCCCCGGACAAGCCGTTTGGGGCCAAGCCCCTAGGCTTCTGGACCAAGTTTGACGTGGCCGATTGGCTGGAGTGGTTGGGCCTGGCCGAGCACCGAGCTCGCTTCCTGGACCACGAGATCGATGGCTCCCACCTGCCCGCCTTGACCAAGGAGGACTACGTAGACCTGGGCGTCACCCGGGTGGGGCACCGAATGAACATTGACCGCGCTCTCAAGTTCTTTCTGGAGAGGTGATGGCCGGCCCACAGAGGACCCTCGGGGAGGGCTCTCGCGCAGCGGCCCCGCCCCTCTGGAATGCTGGCCAGATGTCACGTGACGCTCCCCTTCGCCCCGACCTGGGCCGGCCACTTGCTTCACACTTGCTCAACCGGCCGCCGACGGTCATCCCACTGGACATGCGCACCTCAGAGGAGGGGGCAGCTGGGCCTGGACAGTGTGTGCGTCGGTGCTGGGTGAAGAGTGGGGAGCAGGTGGGAGAGATGCAACCCCACTCCCTCCCAGGGAGATGGCTGAAGCTGTGAAGAGGGAAGATGTACCCTGACCTCCTCCTCTCCAGGTCCCTGGGAGAGGAGGAAAGAATAGCAGAGCCATAGATGGGGAGCCCCAAAGCTAGTCGGATGAGGGGGGCTCCCTGGGCAGCAGGGGAAGGGGGCGAAGCAGGGGTGCCCAATCCCCTCCCCAGGCCCCAGATTTGACCATCCACCACGCCCCAAACCCATCCCCATCTCCCGCCCTACCTCCCATTCCTCTTCTGCCCTCTTCTCTCCCTCCCTCCCAAACTGTCCTGCCTCCTGGCCTCTTGCACGCTCCTTTGCACGCCAGCTCGCCTCTGCGCCACCCCCTTCCCTGGGCTGCTATTTTGCACAGATTTGCGCTGTGTCTCATGCTTTCTTGCACACTCCCCAAGGTGGTGCTTGCAGGTCCCTTAAAGCCGTTGCGACCCAGCTCTCTTGCACGCTCACTTTTTCTTCCCCTCCCTCTTAATTATATTGGCTCCCGTAGTTGTTCTCCCTGGGGACCTCTGTGCGCTGCCCTCTGCTCGTCTCACGCTCGCCTCCGCGTGCTCAGGATCACCGCTCCTTTCGGGCGGCCTGTCACACTAGCTCTTCCACCCGGGCCCCTCTGGTACCAACTGGCCCCTGCTCCTAGCCTTCTTTCTCTCGGTTGCACTTGCACACCCCTGTACCTGCTTTATCTCCTGTCCAAAACCCCTCTCTTACACACGGTCAGTGGCACACACGCTCTCCTTTCTGCGTACCTTGTTCCCCTCCCCATTTCGGGCCCAGCTCCTCGTTTACACTTGCTCGATTACTTTTCACAACACTTGCACACTCACCTGTTTCTGCTCCTTCTTGCTCCTCAGCTCATCCTCCTCTCCCACACTCACTCTGCTGTCTTTCTTCCCTTGCACACTCACCCTTCTGCTCCGGACCTTCCCTAGCACACTCCCTTGCCCTTCCCTACACCGTTCTTGCCCGCTTTCCGATCGCTTCTCCTGCTCGTTCGCCCTCTTACTCCTGGCTCCTCTTGCTCTTTTCTCCCCCCCCCCTTTTTTTTGCATGCCCTGCTTACACATTCGTACACTGCCTCTTCCCGCACACTTTCTTGCTCTTCCCACACTTTCCGCTCTTACGGATCTTTTTTCTCCCGTAGTCTTCTGCACACTCGATCTGTGCTCTCCCTTTGATGTGCTTTCTGCTTGCACTCCTTTTAAAATTCCTGCCTCTTTTGCACACTCGTTTCCTCCTCTCCCTGTGTCCCTGGCACGCTGCTTCACTGTACTTTCTTCTCACACAGCTCTGGCAGATTCCCTTTTCTCCCTGAGCCTTCTCTTGTAAAACCCTTGTCTCCCTCTCCCTCGCACACTCACTTTTCGGTCCGCTCTCCCCTCCTGCTCTCCCGGTGACCCTTCGCGCGCCCCTCTCGCATCCCATCCGTTGCTTGGCTCTCCTGTCCCTGTTCTTGCACGCTCACTGGAGCTTCCTGCCTCGCTTTTCTTGCCCCCCTCGCCTCCCACGCCTCCGCTATTCGCTCTGGAGCCCCTGCAGCCCTTCGCTCGCTTTCTTCCTGCTCGTTTGGCACGCTCGCTCTTCCTCTACATTTACACTCTCCTCCGTGCACACTTGCCTTTTCTCAGATATTTCCACTTCCTTCGTGGATTTACACTTGGCTGATTCTTCCGAGTTCAGCCTCTCACGTTCCCTTTCTTCCTCTGTCTCTTGCATGATCGTTTCTCTTCCCTCTCCCACCCCCAACTCCCCTTTCTAGCATGGCTTACCCTCTTTCTGCCCCCCCCCATTTACCCAAACGCTTCCTTCCCGCTACCGGCTCCCTCACAGACCCTGGGGGGGGGGGGGAAGAATTGAAGTCACCCCGCGCCCTACCCTAGAGACCCTTCCCCCACTTCCATTTGGGGGGAAAGGACAGCCCCTCTAAGGTTCCCCACACACACGTTCAGCTGCCAAAGAAGGGAGCTCCCTTTCTTCCCCCTCACTCTAACCCCACCCTCCCTTCTGCTACCCCCCAAATTCCCGGGGGGCTGCTCCGTCCATGGGTGGGGGGGGCTCCCAGCCCTCTTCCCCCTCACCACGTCAGGGATCTGCGGGTTATCTTGTGGGAGGGTTGGGGGGAGGGGGGAGAAGGGGGTGAGGGAATCCGTCCTCCCTCCCTCATGTCCGTCGTCCGTTGTTCTCCCCCACCCCCGGGGACCCCGCGGTGTTCGTCTATCAAGGGCTTGTTCATTCCGGATGGGCACCGCGGAAGGGGGCGGGGTCAGGGAGGGGGAGGGAGGGGAGAGAGACCCAGGGTGGGATGGGAGGGGGGCGGGGGAGGGTCCGAGCGCGGAGTGGGGGGGGGAGGTGATATAAAGAAAAAAAAAAACAAAAACCCACAAAAAAAAGCTGAAATCAAACCCCGAAGAACTGTCTTCCAAAGGGTGGGGGGCGGGGGGCGGGGAAGGGGGCAGGACGCCTGGGTTCCTTGGGGGGGCGGGGGCGGGGGCAACAAGGCAGCCGCGCAGTAGCAAGGCGGACTGCCACTAGCCAGCTGTTCGACCCTGGGCAGGCGGCCCGACCTCTCCGGACCTCAGCCTCCCCTCGCCGCCAGGACGGGCCGGGGGTCCCCGAGGCTCTCCACGGCCCAGGCTGGGTTCTTTCCACGCCCTTCCCGGGCCGGGGTCGGGACCCAGGCGTCTAGGCCGAGGCCACGGTCTGGGGAGGAGCAGGGGAGGTGGGAATGGACGGGGGTGTCCCCGCACCCTCCCCGATTTTGCAAAGAAATGGCTTTTTGTACCGGGTCATTCTTTATAATTAAACTCACAGTATCCACCCTCCCCTCGAGCCCGCACCGCCTCCTTTCTAGGGAGGCCCCGCCCCCTGACGCCCCGCCCCTGCCCGCTCCTCCTCCCGGCGGGGCCCCCCCGAGGGGCTGGTGCGCAGGCGTGGCTCCGCCCTCAGTCTTCCTCGGTGGGCCCCGCCCCCAGGGCCTCGAGCATGCGCCGTCGGGCCAGGGCTCGGCGCAGGTGCAGGCGGTAGTCTCCGAGCAAGAGTTCGTCGTGGCGCGCTAGAGGGTGGGGGATCCCGCGGGGGCGGAGCCCCGAGCGCAGCAGGCGGGAGCGGGTCTGGAAGTCCGTGACCACGATGAGCCACCTGCAGTGGAAGGGTGCGGCTGCCGGGGCGGCCCCGCCCCTCCTCCACGTGCCCATCTCGGCAATGGGCACGGCGCGCCCGGGAGCCGCGCGACAAGGCCGCTGACTCAGTTTCCCCATCCCAAGAACCAGCTGTCCCAGCCTACCCTCTGCCTCTCTCTGACTGGCACCGCCCTGTCTCCCCTCCTTCCCCAAACACCTCACGGCAGGAAAGTGGGCGCTGTAGCCCTCCCTCACCCTCCTCTTTTAGGAGAAGCCCGGGCCGACGTCATACGTCCCCTCCCCCCTCCCCCATCTCCTGGATCTCTAAGCACCGTGACGATGAGTCTCGACTTCCTGGCGTCCTCCTAGTGTGTCTCCTTTGTCCCAAGGTCACTCCCCATGTCCCTGCTCAACAGTCAGAGGGTCACTCGTTCCCTGTGGCCTCGGGGGATCAAGGGTCACTCATGTCCCTGGTCTGTCTTCAGGTCCCTCCCTAGGTCCCTATTTAGTCAAAGGGTTACTCCCCGAGTCCCACTCAAGCGGTCATCGCTCCCTATAAAATCAGCAGGGGGTCACCGCTTTCTGCACCTCAGTTTCCTCATCTGTGAAATGAGCGGGTTGGCTGGATGGCAGCTGAGGTGCCCCCCACGCTCTACATCTGTGATTCGATGCCTAGGACATAGGGGCCTATGATCGCCTTGTCCCGTGTCAGTCACCCTGTGTTCTTCCTCGGTGACTGCTCCGTCCCCCACAGGGTCACTCCCCAGTTCCCTTTCCGTCATCAGTCATGGGGCCACTCCCTGCGTCATTGGTCAGTGGGGGAGTCGTCACGCCCCGTGTCCCTCCTCGGTCGCAGAGTCATTCCGTGGGTGCCATTTCTGCCCTAGGGTCACTCCCTGTGTGTTTGGTCAATGGAGGGGTCACTGCCCATGTCCCTGGTCTGTCCCAGAGTCTCCCCCTGCCCATGCTCAGTCTCGGGCTCACTCCCTGTTTCTCCAGTCGGTCGGATGGTCTGAAGGTCATTTTCCACGGCCCTGCCCTCTTGCTCCCATACTCCCATGGGTCCCCCTGGCTGGGCTGCTCACCGGTCCTTGCGCCCAGCTGTCCCACAGATGACGTTCATGTTCTCAAACCGGATGCTGCTCACGCGCCCACTTTCTAGGGCGCCTGGCACCTCAGCCTCCAGGGCATTCAGCAAGTCCAGGTGGGTGAAGTCGTTCTCAGGCTAGGATGGCAGAGGGAAACCTCTGGTCCAGATTCCAAAGTTGGGCACGAGCTCCCTTCATGGGGCGGGGCTGTCAGAAGCCACACCCCTCCGCTAGAAGGCAGGGGTCCCAGGTGGGACACCCCCGGGCCCTGGGAACCACCAGGGGATGGGAGGGGGCGTTGGGGATCAAAGAGGTCGGACTCACCGCAGTCTCCATACACAAGCAGAGGGGCTGGGCTGGAGGTGGGCTGGGGAACTTTCGGATGCACGGGAGCTCCCTATCCAGGGCCTCATACTCCGCTAGGATCTGACGAACCTGAAGCTTCCTGGGAAGTTTGGTGGAAGGAGATGGGGGCAGAAAAGGTCAAGGGTCAAAAGTGAGAAGTCAGGTCAAGAGCTGGGAACCAGTAAGGGCCTTGGTGAACAGTAGGCAGAGAGTTCAGGGCAGAGGTCAGGTCAGATAACTACCAATCCCCAAGTTGGGACATTGTCAGGCACTGCAAAGCCAACTCGTAGGCTAGATCCGGGGCCCTCCAACTCACGAGGATTTGATGGTTCTGCCCAGGTTCCGGGCCTGCATCTCTTCTGGGGTCTCCAAGTCCATAAGCAGTGGCCCTGCTCCTAGAGATGGTGCCAAGGCTGGGTGGCCGCTCCTGAGCCGTTAACATACCCCCTCCCACCTCCACCCTAATCTTATTGCCAGCCCCCTTACCCGTCTCCCATCACCCTGGGAGGCTCCCAGAGCCTGATGACTCACCTTCCTGCTGCTGCTGTGACTGCTGCTGCTGCATCTGTGGATAATGGTGGGGAGGCGAGGGAGGTCATGGAGGGTCCTGGCCCCAATCCTCCCAGGACCTATCCGCTTGCCCATTTCTCAGGTCAACAGAGGGGCAGGGACAGGGCACACTGGACAGGAATTTACATGGAGTGCTGGCTCTCCTGCCTCACCCCAATTCAGTGGACACCCCCATCTCTCTCCCACTCCTGCCCTGGTGACTTGCCTGGTCTCATCCCCCCACCCCGATTTTCTTCCCTCTCCACTCCATCTTCTCTCCCTACTTCCTCCTGTTTCTCTCTCCCTTTCTCCCTTCATCTCTGACCCTCTCTCTCTTTCCTCATGTCTCTCAATCTCTCTTCCTCTATTTCTCTCTCTCTCTCCTCTCTTACCTCTAGCCCCTCTCTCCCCATCTGTCCCCATCTCTCCATCTTTTCCCATCTTTCTTCATCTTTCCTCATCTCTGTGTTACTCCATCTCTTCCCATGCCTCTTTGTCTCTCCCCAGTCTCTCTCCCATCACTCCCATCTCACTCAGAAATAAGCAAACAGAAAAAATTCAAACAGAAAGTGGATTCTACTGGAGGGGGGAGGGGCAGGCTGGAGCGCCTGGATACCTGGGTCCCAAAGGGAAGCTGGGGGCTTAGGAATAGGTTGCCTAAGCCCCTTAAGTGGAACCAGACCTCTAAGTCAGTCATCCAGTCACTCCATGACCTCTCTGGTGCTGCCCCCAAAGTCTGGATGGGAGCTGGGACTGTGGACTCAGCATCCAGTCAGGAAAGAAAGGACTAGAAGTGAAAGCATCTCCTTTCCCAAAGACTGATCTCTATTAGAACCTCTGGGCTGGCTGGGCTAGGGTTTCTATGGGAGTCACACACCCCAGGAGAAAATACAAGTCTGCCTGTGTCTCCCCAGCCTGGCAGCTTCTCCAGCATCTGTCTGGTTTGATCTTCCTGGTCCCTGGCTATCTTCAACTCACCCCCTCATTTTGTTTTTCTTCTCTGGCTTTTCTGGATCTCAGTCTTTCACCCTCAGTCTCTCTACATCTGTCTGTCCCTACCATCCCAAGCTTCTGTCTATCCATTTGGGCTCTCTGTACAGCTATCCCTGTAGGTGTATGGGTGTGTGTGTGTCTCTGTGTGTGTCATATCTGTGTGTGTTGTGTTTCTCTCTTTCTTTGAATCTCTGATTCTGCCCAGTTCATTCCTTAAGCCTGGTTTGGGGACCTTGTTTTTATCTCTTCATTGCCAGCCCATCCCTGAGTTTTCCCTAGCCCTTTATCTCTGTTTCTGATTGTGTCTCTCAGTCTCTATGTGTATCTGTGGCCTTCTTTCTCCATCTCACTCCCTCTCTGGTGCTCTGTATGTGTCTGTCTCTGTGCCCCTCTCCTGGCCCTTTCCCCCCTTCTCTCTCTTTCTCTTGTTCTTCACCATCCTATAAACTATCTTTCTTTCTGACTTATATTGCTTTCTTTCTTATCTTTTTCTTCCTCTCCACACATATATCTCTTTGTATATAGTGCCTCTCTGTCCCTGTCTCTCTGTCTCTGTCTGTCTTTGTCTCTCTGTCTCTGTCTGTCTGTCCGTCTCTCTCTCTCTCTCTCTGTCTCCCCCACCCAGCTCACTATACCTGTGTATGGGGTCTTCTTCACTCTCCATCTCAGCAAGATGAAAAATTTCTATCTCTGAATCCTGTCCTTGTTCTCTGTGTCTCTGTATTCCTGTCTTGTCCCTTACTTTTGTTACTGTTTTCTTTTCCCCTATAGTCCCCTCTCTGGCCCTCACCCAACCTGTGACACTCAGCATTTTCCCTCGAAGTACAGAAATTATGTCAGAGCTACAGGGGGAACCCAGGCATCCTGACCACCAGTCCACTGGGATTTGTGTGTATGTGTGTGGTGTGTGTCCCAGTCTGTCTGAGACTGTCTGAGTGCATCTGAATTTCAGGGTGTGTCTATGTGTATGTTTATGGGATTATCAGCATTTGTCTCTGCTGAGCTGGGTCCTTGGATATTTCTAGGTGTGTGTGTGTGTGTGTGTGTGTGTGTGTGTGTGTGTGTATGTTTCTGAATGTGCTCTTGTTTCTGTGTGCCTGTGTACACTTCTCAGTGGGCATGCCTCCATTGGGGGGTGGGGTGTGTTTGTGTGTCTAAGCAAGTCGGAATTTCCATCGCTGTATGTTTCTCTCTTGAGTGTATCTAAGTTTCCCTGTGGGTTTGTACCACTCTGTGTGTTGGTCTCTGCATATATAAATGTATCTTCAGTTGTCTCTATGTATATATGAGTCTTCCTGTGTTTGTCTCTCTGGATTTCTCTGCATATTGGATTTCTGGGTCTCTGCATATGTCTCTGGGTCTCTGACTCTGTGCCTATGTGTCGATTCTGAAGTTAGAAAGACCTGCGTTCCAGTCCCTGCTCTGACGCTTACCAGCTATGTGACCCTGGATAAATCACTTTCTCCTCTATGAATCTTAGTTTTCTCATCTATAAAATGGAGAGAGCAATTATTCTGCACTTTCTTCCTTCCTCATCAGGCGGTGGGGGGAGAGAAAAGTTTTCTACCTTAAAACTCCATAGAGATGGCAATTGTGATTATTACATGTCCCCTTCCCCAGCCACACCTATCTGGTTCTCACAACAGTCCTGGGAAATTTGGGACAGATTGATTGTTCCTATATAACAGGTGAAGAGCATGAAACCCTCAGAGAGGACTAAGGCTGGATAGGGTTCACACCCAAGCCCCTCTCAGAGACGACTAAGGCCGGCTCCAAGACTGGCCAAGCTAGTGCACTGCCCTCCCCACCCCCAGTCTAGCTCTGTAGCTTCCTATCTCTCCTCCTCTCTACAATCTCCAACCTCTCACTTTCCCCACCCAAAGTCCCTCTGGGTTTGTGGGCTGGGCCCTCTACCCACCAAACCAAGCCAGAGTCCTCAAAGTTCAGGGTGAGGTGGGAAGAGCTGAGCTGGTGGGCCAGGCCTTGAGTCCTTAAGTGGAAGGAGGAGGAGGGCAGAGAAGACTCTGGGCCCAAGAAGAACCGTGAGCTCTTTGAGAACAGGAATAGCCTGGGGGATTGGGCTTTGTATTTTCAGCACTTAGGACAGTGCTTGGCACACAGTAGGTGATTTATACATGCTTGAATTGAATTAAATTGAGTTGAACTGAATTAATTACCTGAGTCCTCAGAGGGGTGTGTGTATGGGTGGGGGCAGTGAGGGGAGGGAATGGCCGATGCCTGGATGCCTCAAGTTTAAGGGTAGGCTCAGAGGCCCGGGTCCCTGACCGGGAAGGACTGGAGGACCAGGGCTATGGGGATGACAAGATAGGTCACACCTGGTTCTCTGATGAAAAGAGAGCTAGGGGGCCAGGACGCTTGAGTCCCTGA